TTCTTGAACTTTTGACTATAGTTGCAATAATTGTTTGCTCTGGCTTTCGAGGGAATGATTGTACAGCTGCCTTTCTTCTGGCCCTTCACCTCCTTATCCAATGAACAGTAGCATGGCATCTCTGCAGGAACTGCTAGTCGAAGAAGGATTCGAGAGGCAGAAAGACAACATAAAAAGTCATCAAAAGAAGGTGAAGTTCAGAGATAGAAGAGCACGAGATGAGTCCATTGTTTTGCCTATTTATGTTTGCCATGATCGTCGAAGAAGCTTCGACGCTCCCAAGCAGAAGAGCGGCAAGGCCTCATCACGTAATGGTTCTGTTGCGTCTATTTCAACAAGAAGAGCAGGCTCTGATTCAGGGATATCGATGACAGGGACTATAGATGAGGGATTCTTTAGGAGAAATGAGCCTGCACTAGATGAAGTAGCTATTAGAGCAGTTGTTTCTATACTTAGTGGTTACATTGGCCAGTATTTGAGAGATAAGAAATTTCGCGAAACCATAAGAGCTAAGTGCTACTCCTGTTTTACTAGGAATAAGGATTCAGAAAGTGGAGATTTGGAGAATATGCAATCGGGGATTGAGGTTGTTGAGAGATTGGTAGAACATCAAGGGCCAGAAAAAGAACTCAATGTGAAGTCATTGCAGTACTGCATTAGGCTATTAGGCAGTACTATTTCATCTGTAAATTCTAAAAGCTCAAAGAATGGAACAAGTGCAACATGTAGGAGGCAAAATTCTCAGCTTGCCGCTTGTGCAGAGCTCTACTTATCAATTGTTTACAAGGTATATAGAAGTGATCGAGTATCAGCAAGACATCTCCTGCAAGTTTTTTGTGATTCGCCTCATATCGCTCGAACAAATTTGCTCCCTGAAGTTTGGGAGCACCTGTTTCTTCCTCACCTTCTTCATATCAAGATTTGGTACAATGAGGAACTTGAATCTCTTTCAAACTCAATGTATCCTGACGAAGAAACAAAAATGAAAGCTTTGGACAAGGCTTACAATGACCAAATGGACATTGGGACGCAGAAGTTTGCACTTTACTACAAGGAGTGGCTCAAGGATGGTGCTAAAGCCCCTGCTGTTCCTTCAGTGCATCTGCCTTCAACAGCGAATGGTGCGCCTTCAAGGCGACATTCTGAATCCTTTAGTTCACATTCTTCCAACAAATCATCTCTGTAAGCGATAGCGATATGCATTATGTTAAATGTATTGAGCAAAAATGTAGTGGTAAACACTTCTATGTATCTATTGCATACTTTGATATTCTGCAATCTGAACCTTTTTCTTCTTCACTAATTGTCCAAATTTTGAAGTTATCGAGCTATTTTTGGCCCCATTCTGGAGAGGCATTCAACGTGGGGGAATGACAAGCACGAAAATTTAAGCTATCATTCATGTCCAGAAGACCAAGAGAAGTTTTTCAGAAAGGAAGATAAAATTGACATGGAAGTAGGTAACTTGAACCTCCAGAAAAGTTCTAAATTTAGCTTACGTTCTTCAAAGGATTCCTCCTCCCTGATATTTGTTTTAATTTTGCTGCAGTCAAGATCTTTTGGCAGCCAAAGATCATCAACCTTAAGTGACAGAAAAGTACACGCTGAACTTTGGCCGGACAACAAAAAATCAGACTACTTCCGCCTTTTCAATTGCAGGAGTGACATGGCACAACATGGAGTACGCAAAGACAATACACTGCCCAATGCCTCAGTAGAGAAGGATCGAAAAAGACGAATATCTCTGTCAAATGACCTGAGTACAGCTGTTAGAACGATTTGCACCTCTGATAGCCTTGCTGATTGTGAAACAGCAATCCGTTTGATGGCCAATGCTTGGCTCAATTCTCATGGCGATCCTACAGTTGAAACAGCAATATCTAAGGCACAAGTTATTGAAGCAATAATGGATGTTTTGTCTGCATCCAGCGATGATGAAATCTTAGAACTTGCAATCTCACTATTAGCACAAATTGTGACGAAACAAGAGTTGAATGCAAATATCATAATGAATTTTGACCCCCAGCTTGATATCTTTGCAAGACTGTTGAGGGACAACAGTCTATTTCTGAAAGCTTCGATTCTCCTCTATCTAGTCAAGCCAAAGGCAAAACAGATGATAGCAATGGAATGGATTCCACTGGTCCTCCGGATATTAGAATTTGGGGATCATTTGCAAACCTTATTTACCATCCATTGCAGTCCTCAAGTGGCGGCATATTATTTCTTAGATCAACTTCTTAATTGTTTTGATGAAGATAAAAATATGGAGAATGCTAGATATGTTGTTGCTGTTGGCGGATTGAACTTGCTGCTGAGAAGGGTGGAGATAGGGGACATAGTTGAAAAGAACAAAGCTGCATCAATCATCTATTATTGTATTCAGGCTGATGGAAGTTGTCGCCACTATCTTGCCCAAAATTTCAACAATCAAGCCTTCATTTCCCTCCTTGCCCTCAAAGACAAGAAAACTCAAAATCGAGCATTTGCTTTGCTAACAGAGCTCTTCTGCCTTCATAGGTAAGATCCTTTATCTTGTGCATATTTCTTCCATGAAGATAGGGAAAATTGAGAAAGGACTAGTAAATGGAATGCATTTTATCAAACTCATATTGCATATTTGTCAAATCCAGGCATCATGAAAGAATTGAATTGCTAAGTAAACTGATCAAAGGATGGGGCAGAATGAATGCCTTACACATTTTGTTGGTCTACCTTCAGAAGGCTCAACCAGAAGAACGTCCTCTGGTTGCAGCAATACTGTTACAGCTTGATATTTTGGTAAGATGGAAAGCTAGTCCTTCACTTGGATTTTCCATCGTTAGATATCCAGCATGCGTCTGACACATACATCAACTTCTGCAGGGAGATCCTAGCTTACTTGGACTTGAATTGTCAGGAGATTCTTCTGAGTGTAGTGTTTATAGATGTGAAGCTGTAGAGGAAATTGTAAAAGCAATGGACTGTCAAGTGCTTAATGAGCAAGTCCAGGAGCAGTCAGCCAGGACTCTCTTGATATTAGCAGGTCACTTTTCATATACAGGAGAGCCAGTTGCTGAAAAATGGCTCTTAAAACAAGCAGGCTTTGATGAAAACTCATTGGACGCATTCAGCTGCAACAAGGTTGCATTCAATAACTTCACAAACCTGGTATGTCGCTTCATGCTTCCAAAATGGTCACAAAAGCAACTTTTGTGTTCTTCAGCTTCAACTCCAGTGAGGTGTTCAACGGTTTGATATGAAGCGAAATAATAGAAGACGAGGCACATGAAAATGAAGTTTTACTAGTTCCAAATCTCTCCCCATAAATCCCTTCGGGTGCTGTTATGGGATTTAAATGTTGCATGATTTTGATAATGATGCAACAAATCTTGGACTTTCAAAGTCTCTATTTTAGATGTAGTCAAGTGGCAAGAACTATATACTATATAGGATGGTCCTTCCTTAATTACCTCGTATGCTGGTCTGTTTCATCTCATTAAATTCCTTATCACTGTGGGATTGATTTTATGCCAACATTTTACAGGTGAGAGAGGATGAAGAAGCAGAAAACTGGCGAAGGAGAACAGCAATGATTCTGCTTAAAAGTGGCAGAAGGAATTTACTTGTTGCTCTATCAGATTCCATGGCCAATGGCATACCTCGTTTAGCAAGAGCAAGCCTAGTTACTGTTACCTGGATAAGCAGTTTTCTCCATTGGTCTGGAGAAAGAAGTCTTCAGCCTTTAGCATGCTCAATTCTTGCGCCACAGCTAATAGAAGCTCTGAACTATGAGAATAGTATGGAGGAAAGAATTCTTGCTTCCTTTTCACTGCTCAATCTCCTGAAGGGTTCAGGTATGAGATAATAATCAATCAATGATAACATCAAAGGACATGTTTTATGATCTGATTACTAAGCTGTGCAGAAAAACAAGGAACAAGAAAAAGTTTCAGAATGAGAAAAATAATACTCCCTCCATCCCACTTTGATAGTCCTGTTTTCCTTTTTCGTCTGTCCCAAATTGTAGTCCACTTTCTAATTGAAGAATGTAGTTATCTTTTAATTTATCTGAAATACCCTTATTCAAGGTAAGTTGTTATTAGTATAGACTACCTTATTTAATATAGGTTGTTATTGAATATAACCTACGCCATTTAATACATTTAGATTTTTCAAAACATATTGATATGTGAATGAGAATTGATTCTTTTTTGATCATCAATTCAAGTTCCCATAAACCATCAATTCAAGTTTTCATGAATAATTAATATAAAGTTGTACTCTATTTAATATAAGGGTATTTTAGAAAAATAGCAACCTACATTTATTTTTTCAACAAAGTTAACTACTTTTTCTTAAATTGTGAAAAAAAAAACTAGAAGTATTAAAATGGGACGGAGGGACGGAATAAAATTGAAGATACTGACAAAAGGTTACATTAACATTATTTGCCCTCCTCTTTTTTTTTTTTTTCCTTTTTGTCACTTTTAACACAGATGGAGTGGATAGCTTACAGAGATTGATGACTAAAGAGTTGGTAAATGAGCTTGACAATCTCTCCCAAGTGACATGGACAGCAAAGGAGCTCATTTCAGTCATCACAAGTAGTTCAAATTCTGGTGCGTAGATGACAGTTTTCACTGAAAAATTAGTCCATTTGACTGATCATAGGCAGGCCTTGTACAATTTTTGTTTCCCCCTCTTTTCCACGGCAATTATTTGTTTATTGAGCGTGTAATATATAAATAAACTGTAAATTTTTTTCCTCACTTTTTTCTTTCGGCCTTATTTGAAGCCTACTTGAATGAAAATCCATATATTCCCTACTCTCATTTCCAGATTGAGAAGGAACTCCTGTACAAGACCATAATTTAGTAGTGTAAATTTGCTTATTATATAGGTGAAGGGTGAAAATTTTGGAATTCTGGCTATTTTTGTTATTAAATTCGAGGATTTTTTATTATTAATTATTCTCAGTTATTTTTCACTTGATAGAAACAGGTCAGAAACAAAAAGAAGGATCGAAGAACAGGTCATAAACTAACAGGGTTCCAACATTTTACATTCCTGCTGCACTATAACTCGTGCATGACCACAGGACAACAGATACTCAGAACAATTTAAAGCCACAAACCGAATTTTACAAGACAGTAGTTCCTAAAGGAAAACATGACTCAAATTCTCAGAACTAACACACTCACACCTAACGACAATGAAGATATGGACTAGCCAACCATCATCTGAAAACATGAAATGTCTTTATTTATATAGCTAACTCAACGCTTAAGTGATAAAAAAAAGAGGTGCACAAATCCTCTGACGAGCATCAGAGGGCAGAAGGCATGAAAACCCATTAGATTCACGTACAAACTCCTTTGCTAGTTGATTAGAAAAGGAGATTGGATCGGCGTTTTCGGGGTATTCCTTTGAGTGAACAATCTCCGTTACTCCAGAGTGGAGGAGACTGACAGCCTTGACGAGGCTGCCTAGACGAAAAACATGACATTTTGGAGGTCTGGATGCAGAGTATAGAAATTGTGATCAAACGAAGCAGAAGATGACAATGATACAGATGGTGTTGCAGAAGATGATGATGGAGACGATGCTGGAGGTTGCTCCATTACTACCTCTTGGAACATTCGTCCGCGGTAGGCGACAAGGTCAGCATAATAGACTGGCGGAACTAGTGAAACGGGCTTAGTGCATCGAGCATAAGTGAAGCACATATTGTATATGAGCTGATGCAACCTGTCGGATGTGAACGCATTTTCATCCCAAAGAACATAATAGTGCGTAGGCTTGCTCGTCCCAAGGGTTCCGTAATGGCTACAAAGGTAGAAGTCGAACTCAAAGGGATGAACAATTGTTGTGTCCACAACGGTTCCTGGAGGAACATTTCCCACTCTATTATCCCTCCCACCTTCAAGGAAAAGTCGAGTGTGGTGTCTCTTTTGTGCCACAACAAGGGTGATTGTTGGTTGATAATTCTCATCACAGATGGCCCGTTTTAGATCAAGTAACTCCTCATTTAGCACCATATCAAACTGCCCCTCACTAACACCATCTCGGAATACGACAATTCTTTTTGGTCTGATCTTGTTGAGCTTGGCATAAGTACTAACTAGATCACGACAAATACTTCCAAAATTAACGATCTTTTCCTTGCGGTGCTCTTGGGGCTGAACCCTTGCAGCATATCGATTGGCAGCAGGCCAGTTAATTGTGCCCACAACTGCTGCTATTGATGGACATGTAGAGTTTCGTGCAGCCGGATGATTCACATCAGCCCCAATGAACATAACATAATCTTGATCAGCAAAATTAGGAAGCCTATCATTGAGCTCCACATTGCTGCCTCCAAGCTTTGCATTAATCTTGAGACAAAGATTTGCCAAATACTGGTCTTGTCCCCTGTTTGCTTGAGAGCACAAACAACACTGAGTCACCACACCAATTCGTGTCTCAGAGACCCATTTAAGATACTTATATCCAGGATCCTTTCCAGCCATTACACAGACAATGATTTGCAGCGTACCCTGTGAACCACTTCTAGGTCTAGCATCAGCAATAACCTTTCTAAGAAGGGCATCAATTCTATCAACGGAATAGAATTCATCCATTCCAGTCGAGTGACAAACAAGAGGCTCCTGCATATGCATTCCCAGTCTCCGTGCACGCTGTATTAGGTTCCCGATGAAGTCTTCTTTTCGCAGTCTGTAACGGCTTGATGAAGTAAAATCTATCAAAGCCCACCGCTCAACTGGTTTTCCTTGTACTACACATTTGTCAACAAGGTTCCACTGGCATTTCTCCTGGTCAACTCTTACAGGATATACATTGCCATTTTTACCACCTAGCTTCAACTCAGGTGCACCGAGGACTCGACCTCCAACAGATGTCATACATTTTTCAAGTTGCATATTGAAGCCTTTAGCAACAATTCTGCATCATTTCAAAGGTAAAATCTCAATGAGCTGGGTCATATGCAACAAACATACGGCAGCAATCACATGTCCTATGCAAAATGATACATAGTGCCCACCAGGTAAGTTCACACGCATCAAAACTGTTGTAGGTTTACCAGATGCACATGTTTCACCATATAAGGTCATATAGGGGTTTTAATTATATCAGGACTCCAATCCCACATGATCCAAGCACCATCATAATGGACTAATTGTTTGCCTTACATATAGATCATTCCATGAAAAACGTAAAATCACTAGTGAAATTATCAATAGACAAATGCAACAGTACCTATAGCACATTGTTCAACGCTAGACTTGAGGAACAAAGGGCTTGACCAAAAAATATTTGAAGAATATATATATAGTACAACCAATCTAAAGATTGGCTCACCAAGCAAGTTCAAGAACAGTCGGTCTTTATAATCACAGACACAGGGATTCTACCTCCACCAAAGTGAACTATCCTAAAATTTTAAATTATCTTCTAAGCTGCATTATGCAAAGACCAAAAAGATATAAATGATAAAGTGACCATGCATAAGAGATTTTTTGAGTGGTACATACCCATCAGGTCCATCCTCAGCCTGCACCATGTCACAGATTGTACGTTTTCTTACTGCCGGTGGAGCCAACGATATTTGCTTTAATAACACGGCTGCATCTTTCTCATTTCTTTCCAAGTATTCCTTGGAATACCTCTGACCTTCGACCAAGACACAAAATTCCATTGGTACATCATTTTTCTTGTCTTTTCTCCCAAGGTCTAAGCAAGGAATATCGAGATGGGCAATTTTCTCCTCATATTTCTGCCTGAAGTAGTCAACAAGGCTGACTTCTCTTGGTGGCACCTGGCCATCTGGATCTACAAGTGAAAATTTAATCAAACGTGTAATGTCTCGGGTGAGCCCTGATATGGTATACTTTTGTTTGGTTTTACGATGTGTTACTCTTACTTTCAACCCTTTCAAAGCACTTTCAACCTGTCGTCTCATCCTCATAACATCATTCACTCCTCGAAATCCTTCAACATTCTCTTTCAGGAAGTCGATAACTGGCAGAGGCTTTCGGAATGCCAAAACTGAGTAGTCCAAACACAGCGCTAGACCGTTCGAGGTAGGCTTCAAGCTCTGGTAGAAGCCTCTATATGCGGCAATCCCATGACCAAGATCATCCCCGCGTTCGTTCTTGGAGAAAAAGCTTCGCCCTACGGGGATCCTATGCATAGACGGGTTATGCTTCATGACCAAGTCCATGGCCTGCAGTATATCACGAGGAATATGTGGGAGGTTTCCACACAGGTAGTCTTTCAAGTTAGAGAGCTTAAGCTGATTCACTTTTTGGATGACGAATTTATAAGTGCGAACATTCTCTTCCCCATCAGATAATTCAACTTTGAATTCCCCAGTGGGGAGTGAAACAGCACTGAAAATATTCTTCTCCCCATCATAGGTAACCATATCTACCGGGAACCCCTCGTCAGAAAACAGCTTGTCTTTAATCAAGGACAAAAGAGCCTTGGGAATTGATCTCCTGTGAGGCTGATTTCCACCGGGCATAACTTGTTGAATATCGACATCATAATGGGTAATAATTCCCTCAGAGTTGAATTTCACTGGAAAATGATTAGCAAGAAGCTTGACAGTCCTGACAGCAAGAATTCCCCTGTCAGGCCTTTTGATAGGCAGAAGTTTGTTATCTGGTTTCCCCTCAGCTGATAGTGGCTTCTCCTCTGAAATCCTTAGTGACTGAACGTCCGACAGAGCTTCATGTGCACAAATAGGAAAATTATAACGTGTACAAGTTATAGAACGAATGAAACTTCCAACAAAAAAAAAAGGTAGCTCAATACCAGGAGTAGGTTGAGGATGCTGAGGCCGGGGCTGATACTGAGCCGGAGCACTTGATGAAGAAGCAGATGGACCCCACGGCCTACCAGTCCAAGCCCCTCTGCCACTGGGTCCCACACCACCGCCACTTGGCTGCTGCAGTTTCTGGATGAACTCACCGCCGCCGACGCCGCCAGCCACTTGGGTCCCAGGACCCCTAGCTCCTCTACCACCCTCCAGCTGGGGGTACTGACCCCGGTAACGCTGATCCATTTCACTCCCACCACCACTGACAGCCGGAGCATAGCCACCCTCGTGGGCCCCACGACCCCAAGCTCCACGACCACCGCTGTCCCCTTGACGCTGGTCGTACTGACCCCTATAACTCCGATCCGACTCGCCACCGCCTGGAAACCTGCTATCGTAACCACCACCCATGTGGGTCCCACGACCCCTTCCCCGTCTACCTCCATAACTCTGGTCGTCACCTCCACTGCTACGACCACGACCACGACCACGACCAGCACCACCACCACCCCGACCACGACCAGAGGAGCCACCACCAGTTCCTCCGCGGCCGTAGTTTTTTCCTTCCATTCTTGCTTAAAAATGCAATAAAATCAGAGTGCTAAAAAACAAAAGTTTGAGAGAATCTGCGAGGATTAAGCAAATGGGTTGTTTCCAATTTAAATACTAGTAGGAGTAGACTGAGTAGCAGGTGACTTAGAGTCAAGAAGATGAGTTCAAGAACTGAAATGACGGGAAAGGGTTTTACTTCGTGGGCAAGAATCATGAAAGAACAAAAGTAGAAAGGAGGAAATGGAAAAAGTGATGGGGAGGGAAAGGTAAAATGAGGGAAAACGGGAAGGATCAAGAAGGTTCCGGAGAGGTCGATGAAAACCGAGGGAAAGGGAATTGGAATGAGTGTAAGGGTAGGGGAAAGCGGGAGGAAGAGACGGAGCAAATGATGCAAGATTTCGTGAGAAAGTGACAGTGGTGGGATGGTGATCCTGGAGAAAAAGGGAATCTTCGTGTTGATTTTGCTACTTCGCTTGGACGAGCTATCATTTGACTTGGGTTGTCTTGACCCAACATGCAAGAAATTCTCATTAAAATAGATGATTAAAGGTTTCACAAATTATCAAGTTAAGTTTAAAGGCGGAGGGAAGGAAGTATAAGCAAAATGTTTCGGATTTGATTTAAAAAAAAAAATTTTTAAATTTGTTGAAATGAAGGTTTGTTTGGATAGAGTATTATTTGGAATAATTATTATAGCATATTTTGTAATGTGATTTATATGAGATAAAAATGTGGTTGAAAATATAAAAAGTTGGATTGAAAAATGTGTTTATGATGCAAAAAAAATATTATTTGGAATAATTTGCTATCCAAACACAATAATCTGCATGATAGAATGTATTACTTGTGCTTAAGTTAAAAAATAGTGTGTTTGGATAGGAGATTATTTGGGATAATTTTTTTTAAAAAAATAATATAGTACTTTTTAATATGATGTACGTAAAATTAAAAAAATAGTTAAAAAACGTGTTAATATGATACAAGTAAATTTGTACGTGTAAATAAATTGCAAACCAAACAATCATAACCATTTTTCTAAGAGTCAACCTTGGGACCAATGTTGTTACAAATTATTTTAAGGGTCATTAGAACATTTATCTGTAAGAGAGAGATGGTGTTATATAATTAAAGTATTAATTTTTATGGATTAATAGTGTACTGATATATTTATTTTTTTTGACACTAGCAATCATAGATGTATGTCACTAATAATTAGAAAAAAAGTCATGCACTAACACTGATAGTGTATAAAAAATTTACTCATAATTAAAACCTAATTATTTTTTTTCTGGTTATTTTTCAAATAACTATAACTATCCCACGATGATGGGATCAACAGCATTAAGTTATTTTTTTACAAGATTACAACTTGCTCACAAATAGTGAATAAATACGATAACATATAGTTAGATGAAACTCACACTTCTAAGACTTGATGCCTTTCACTCCCACTGCCTTATTCCCTAAAACAAATTGTTTGGTGAATTTGTTCAAATGACGTCAATGTGTCGGAGAAAGTACTTTTGAACCTTCGCCAGAGAATAAAAAAAAAATAATAATAATAACTCTATGTGCTTTATTAAAGTTGAGATTATTGACAGTCAAGACGTTAGAGTAATTTATGTCTCTTATGCTAGAAAGATAGATAAACGAAAATTTTCACTCTAATAAGAAAAGAATAAGAAATAGTATATATTGTAGAATAATTCTTATATACACTGAGAGCGCATACATTACTACCAGTAAATCTATGTCACATAAGCAAAAGTTAGATTTTGAATTCAAAATTTGCATAGTTATCATTCATTCAGGGATGACAGTATATACACTGTTAATGTAGGAAATATATCTTATATTTTATGTCTATAAAGGTTGAAGAAGCGAAAAATTTTCATGTTGGTGATAGGAGTTACTCTCTTTTTTTTTGGTAACAAAATTTTTTTGATCAAATATCATAATTTCATTAAAATCTGCATTAATGGCAGAAATTATATATCATCAAACATAAATAAATATCAAAAAACAGATATGCAGAAAGGATACTCCAGATTTGAAGAATAATAAAAATTATATTATAAAGTTCCAAAATGAAAAATGAGATAAAATAATTATAATTTCATGGACATCTGCTCATGTTTCTAATTATCAGATCTCCTAAAGATTAAGAAGAGTTTTGAGCTTTAAAGAGAGAGAGAGAGAGAAGAGTTTTGAGAAGAAAGTAAGAGGAATAAATTTAAAATGACATCATATGTCATTATGGTAGATGCATCAAGGACGTAGCTATAGTCATTTCACGGGTGCAATTGCACTATCTCAATTTTTCAAAAATTATAAAATAACTTACAATAAATTTATTTATTTTTATTATTGTCTCACTTTTGCTCCTCTTGAATTTTCAAAATATTCTATCTAGATTTAAAATTGCCCCCAAAAGTTTTGACATTTTATTGTTTCCCTTACCATTTCTGCTATGGAAGTTTGAATTAAAACATGATTTCTTTTTCTATTTTCTATCAAAAAACTTTATTTACTTAAATTTGAACTTTACATATATGTCCAATCATATGAATTAGAAATGATCCAAATGTTCATTTGGCAATTTGATTGTATACACATTATCTACATCATATCTACACATATACATAATAGTAACAATTCTATATTTTATACTATTAGATGACCTAGTAACTTAGCACATATTTTCTCCGTCCCAAATACTTGGTTCTGTTTCGATAATTCAATTTTTTAGGAATAATGGTTTAATTATGATATTGATACTTCTCTTTCTAATTTTACCCCCATAAATTCAAATTTTGAATTTGAATGGTAATATGCATATGATTAGAAGAAAGGGCTATATTGGAAAAAGACTAAAATGTATTTTAATTTTCTCAATGAGATATATTTTGGGACATCCCAAAATAGAAAATAGAACACTTTCAATAAAACATAGGAAGTAATAAATAACAAGCTATAGATGATTTTCTAATTTTTATTGTTATAATACTGAATAAATTAGTTCATGTCTACGAAACTTATAATAAACACGTGCGTTTGATAAAATTGAAATTTGAAGATTAAAATCTAAAATCTAAAATCTAAAATCTGAATTATTAAGTTATTGAATTGTTAAGCCTTAAATGTGGTACATTTTGAGTGTATATCACATTAAGTAATAAGTGAATAGTGTATCACTTATTTTTGAGAGTAAGTTTTACCTACGAAATTTAGTATCAATTAGTTAATTCAGATATTTAAGTTTTCATTATCAAACGCGTCTAAACATATTAAGATCTGAATCCATTAAATTTAAATACTGAATTGAGTTATCAAATAAGACCTTAGTTGCATAAAAAAATCACCAAAGTTTTTAAGATTTGGTAGAAATCAACAGTTCAAATCTTACCTCTCATCATTGGCTACTACATGTAGCTTGTCATTTTAAATGATTTCCTTTAAATCCATACAAACCTTAACCTTGCCTCTGGGGTAGATAAGTGACTATTGATAAAAGAAAAAAAAAAAAAAAAGGTCAATGGGTCTTTTTCTCAATATTAATGCATTCGAGAAAAAATAACGAACACGAAAACAAACCTTATCAAAAAGTAACGCGGCATGACGTAAGAATGTATGTTTATGGTGGGTTACGTATGACGTTAGTTGTCATACGAATTGCTTAGGTGACGTGTGCTGATTGGTGGACGTCCTGTACCCTTTTTTGCATTCTACGAGGATTCTATGGCCTAGGATATCGTATACTTTTATCATTTTTGTTTTTGGTGGGTGGATCACGTCATTGTCGTGGAATTTAAAAAAGGGCTGTTAGAAATTTTGTGATTTGATTATTGGATTGACTTGGCCTTAACTGGGAAGAATTGAACACCATGATAAAAAAAAAAAAAAAAAAAAAATCATTAGGCCTATGTCTATTTTATAAGAATGGATTAATTTTTTTATACTGATAAAATATATATTGTCAGCGTTAGACGAATGATAGTAATATTTCATATATTTAACGGTGATAATCTATACACTGTGAATGTATATAAAATTTATTATATAATAATTGAATTTTTTTAAATAAATTTTTTCATCCGAGTCCATCCATGAGAATGAAATCAATTTGGTGCAAGTCATTCTCAAAGACTTTTCAATGTCTTTCCCTCACCTATATATAATTCTTTTGCTTTCTTCGTCGCCAAGCAATCTCTTTGGTTTTCCCCCTCTTCCAAGATCCAAAAATCTGAAGAAGAATATAATAACCTTTACAGATAAGGCAATAAAGCACTATAGCTGTAGGAAAACGCGACTCGCCGAAAAGAACAAAAGTGTCCATGTTGGGCCGGTGGAGGGAGTTAAAGCTATAGAAAAGAAGTCGGAAAGTAGAAGGTTATTTTAGTTAACTTTTTTCGTGGAAGCCTATAAGCATCAATTCAGGGACCTCAAGGCTCAAGCCATTATCCTTTCCACACCCGTTGTACTTGTAATGCATCTGCTGCCTTCCTTCTCAAGAGTCACGAAGGAATTTCTTTGGTTTTTCTCCACCTCAAGGGTTCTTGAAGCCCAAGAATCTCAAGAGAAAATTGCAGTTTTGGCATCAAATTTTTGGAACGTAGGTGGTTTTAATCTCTAAAGTTTGGACAAAAGTAAATCTAGTACCAAATGTTTCAATTTCTAAGCACATTTAATTTAATTGATCGGTTTTGAGAAATTGTGACCAAAATCCGAAAACGTGAGCAGCGCATGCCAGCGGCTAAGTTTAGAAAAAAATATTTAAAAAAAAAGAACAAAGTTTGTGGCCATAATCTATAATTAAAAAAGATACTTATTTTTTCCCCTTTCATTTCTATACTTTTTTCAAAATTTAGCCACCGACATGTACTAATCATGTGATCAAATTTCGGTAACAATCTGCCAAAACTAGTCAATTGGACTAAATTTGTCGAGAAATTAGAAACACTTTTTTTTTCTAAAAAATTAGCCGTTGGCAAGTGCTACTCATGTGGCCAGATTCTTGT